ATTTCGTGAGGATGTCCCGAGCGAAACCGCCGACACCGACCAAGTTTGGTCGGGGTGGGCTGCCCAAGAAGAGCCCAAATATGGCACAAGAAGAGCCAAAAAAGTGGCCCAACAGGGCCCCGAGGGGTTCTACAAAGGCCTCCAAGACGGCCCAAGAGAGCCAAGAGTGAACTAAGACAGCCACGGAGGAGCCTGGCCGATTTCGTGAGGATGTCCCGAGCGAAACCGCCGACACCGACCAAGTTTGGTCGGGGTGGGCTCCCCAAGAAGAGCCCAAGTATGGCACAAGAAGAGCCCAAGACGGGCCCAAGACGGGCCCAAGAGGGCCCCGAGGGCGTCTACAAAGGCCTCCAAGACGGCCCAAGAAAGCCAAGAGTGCACTAAGACAGCCACTGAGGAGCCTGGCCGATTTCGTGAGGATGTCCCGAGCGAAACCGCCGACACCGACTAAGTTTGGTCGGGGTGGGCTGCCCAAGAAGAGCCCAAAGATGGCACAAGAAGAGCCAAAAAGTGGCCCAAGAGGGCCACGAGGGGTTCTACAAAGGCCTCCAAGACGGCCCAAGAGAGCCAAGAGTGCACTAAGACAGCCCCTGAGGAGCCCAGCCGATTTTGTGAGGATGTCCCGAGCGAAACCGCCGACACCGACCAAGTTTGGTCGGGGTGTGCTCCACAAGAAGAGCCCAAAGATGGCACAAGAAGAGCCCAAGAGGGGCCCAAGAGGGCCACGAGGGGGTCTACAAAGGCCTCCAAGACGGCCCAAGAGAGCCAAGAGTGCACCAAGACAGCCACTGAGGAGCCTGGCCGATTTCGTGAGGATGTCCCGAACGAAACCGCCGACACCGACCAAGTTTGGTCGGGGTGGGCTCTCCAAGCAGAGCCCAAAGATGGCACAAGAAGAGACCAAGCGGGGGGGAAAGAAGGTCCGAGGGATTCTACAAAGGCCTCCAAGACGGCCCAAGAGAGCCAAGAGTACACTAAGACAGCCCCTGAGGAGCCTTGCCGATTTGGTGGGGATGTCCCGAGCGAAACCGCCGACACCGACCAAGTTTGGTCGGGGTGGGCTGCCCAAGAAGAGCCCAAAGATGGCACAAGAAGAGCCAAAAAGTGGCCCAAGAGGGCCCCGAGGGGCTCTACAAAGGCCTCCAAGACGGCCCAAGAGAGCCAAGAGTACACTAAGACAGCCCCTGAGGAGCCTTGCCGATTTCGTGGGGATGTCCCGAGCGAAACCGCCGACACCGACCAAGTTTTGTCGGGGTGGGCTCCCCAAGAAGAGCCCAAGTATGGCACAAGAAGAGCCCAAGAGGGGCCCGAGGGGTTCTACAAAGGCCTCCAAGACGGCTTAAGAGAGCCAATATTACACTAAGACAGCCCCTGAGGAGCCTGGCCGATTTCGTGAGGATGTCCCAAGCGAAACCGCCGACACCGACCAAGTTTGGTCGGGGTGGGCTGCCCAAGAAGAGCCCAAAGATAGCACAAGAAGGGGCCCAAGAGGGCCCCGAGGGCGTCTACAAAGGCCTCCAAGATAGCCCAAGAGGGCCAAGAGTGCACTAAGACAGCCCCTGAGGAGGTTGGCCGATTTCGTGAGGATGTCTCGAGCGAAACCGCCGACACCGACCAAGTTTGGTCGGGGTGGGCTCCCCAAGAAGAGCCCAAAGATGGCACCAAAAGGGGCCCAAGAGAGTCCCGAGGGCGTCTAAAAAGGCCTCCAAGACGGCCCAAGAGGGCCAAGAGTGCACTAAGACAGCCCCAGAGGAGCCCGGCCGATTTCGTGATGATGTCCCGAGCGAAACCGCCGACACCGACCAAGTTTGGTCGGGGTGGGCTGCCCAAGAAGAGCCCAAAGATGGCACAAGAAGAGCCCCAAGATTGCCCAAGAGGGCCCCGAGTGTGTTTCAAAATGCTTCCAAGACGGCCCAAGATAGCCAAGAGTGCCCTAAAACAGCCCAAGAGGAGCCCGGCCGATTTCGTGCGGATGGCTCAGCGAAACCGCCGACACCGACCAAGTTTGGTCGGGGTGGGCTCCCCAAGAAGAGCCCAAGTATGGCACAAGAAGAGCCCAAGAGGGGCCCAAGAGGGCCACGACGATGTCTAAAAAGGCCTACAAGACGGCCCAAGGGAGCCAAGAGTGCATTAAGACAGCCCCTGAGGAGCCTGGCCGATTTCTTGGGGATGTCCCGAGCGAAACCGCCGACACCGACCAAGTTTGGTCGGGGTGTGCTCCCAAAGAAGAGCCCAAAGATGGCAAAAGAAAAGCCCAAGAGGGGCCCAAGAGGGCCACGAGGGAGTCTACAAAGGCTTCCAAACAGCCCATGCTCGTCCTCATCACCCTTCTCCTCCTCCTCCACCTTGCTCGTTTGCTCCTCTTCCTTCTCCTCCTCCTGTTCCTCCTCCACCTCATCCTCCTCCACCCTCGCGCACACAACGGCAAGCGCAGAGCAGCAGAAGCCACCAGATTGGCAGATAAAATAATCAAATACATTAAATAACTAAATAAATTAAATAACTAAATAATTAAATAAATAGCGCCATCGGAATTAATTTAATTAATGAATTTCGCTTCGCAGAATTATTAAATAATTAAATAATTAAATAACTAAATATGGCGAAGTAATTCCATTATTTGTTTTATTCAATTTAATTAATTATTTTCTGCCCTACCCTGAGACACACAACGGCAAGCGCAGAGCAGCAGAACTCACCAGATTGGCAGAACAGAATAATTAAATAAATTAAATGATTAAATAATTAAATAAGTAGAGCCGCTGGAATTAATTTTATTATTTAATTTCGCCTCGCAGAATTCACTAATTACTGAAATAATTAAATGGGGCAAATTAATTTAATTATTTATTTTATTTCATGTGCTTAAGTATTTTCTGCCCTACCCGCAGACACACAACGGCAAGCGCAGAGCAGCAGAACCCACCAGATTGGCAGAAAAGGATAATTAAATACTTAAAATAATTAAATAATTGAATAAATAGCGCCGCTGGAATTAATTCAGTTATTTAATTTCGCCTCGCACAGTTAATTAAATAATTAAATAATTAAAGAATTAAATGAGGCGAATTAATTCAATTATTTATTTTATTTAATGTATTTAATTATTTTCTGCCCTACCTTCAGACACACAACGGCAAGCGCAGAGCAGCAGAACCCACCAAAGTGTCAGAAAAACAACTAAATAAATCAAATAAATAAATAATTGGGTAAATAGCGCCGCTGGAATTAATTTTATTATTTAATTTCGCCTCGCAGAATTAATTAAATAATTCAATAATTAAATGGGGCGAATTAATTTAATTATTTATTTTATTTAATGTATTTGATTATTTTCTGCCCTACCTTCAGACACACAACGGCAAGCGCAGAGCAGCAGAACCCACAGAAAAATAATTAAATAAATTAAACAATTGAATAATTGAATAAATAGCGCCGCTGATATTAATCTAATTATTTTATTTCGCCTCGCAGAATTATTAAATAATTAAAATAATTAAACGAGGCGAATTAATTTAATTACTTATTCTACTGGATGTATTTAACTATGTTCTGCCCTACCTTCAGACACACAACGGCAAGCGCAGAGCAGCAGAACCCACCGGATTGGCAGAAAAGAAAATTTAAATATATCAAATAATGAAATAATTAAATAAATAAAGCCGTTGGAATTAATTTAATTATTTAATTTCGCCTCGCAGAATTAATTAAATAATTAAATAAGTAAAGAATTATATGGGGCGAATTAACTTAATTATCTATTTTATTTAATTTATTTAATTAGTTTCTGCCCTACCCTCAGACACACAACGGCAAGCGCAGAGCAGCAGAACCCACCAGATTGGCAGAAAAGAATAATTAAATACATTGAATAATTAAATAATTAAATAAATAGCGCCGCTGGAATGAATTAAACTATTTAAGTTTAGCTCGCGGAATTAAATCATATTTCAAGTAATTCAACATATTGTTCTGGAATGTGCCCCAATCAATATACATACATGAGTGTTCATATACATGAGTATATATACATATATGTTACATGTGCACACACCTATATACATATACACAACATGTGTATGTATATGTATGTGAATAATCTTTTATATGTAAATACAGATACATAGGCATACACATACACATACGCAAAAACATACACATCCGCATACACATACATCTATACATAATATATATATATATATATGTATACATATATACATATACATGCACATATGCATATGCATATATATATACAGTTGAAATTCCCTTTATGTATACACATATACATACCTATATACATACATGAACATATACACGTACATAAAAATATAGACTGTACGTATACGCATAAATATACATATACTGATACATATCCGTATCCATATACACATATAAATAACTATATAGGGGTATACAAATACAAATGCATTACCCTATACATCTGTATAGTATATATGTATATAGTATACATGCATGTACGTATGCATCTACAGGTACATATGCCTATATACATGCCTATGTGATGACAAATACACTTACCTATACATATACATGTACCTAAACATACCCACGTATACATATATATATGTGCATAAATATAAACATATATAGATACGTATGCATGTACGCATGCAGATACAAATGTATCTACATGTACATATACATATACATATATATATGTATATATATACATATGTGATTACAAGTACACACACATGTACATATACACGTACATATACATACACGTATATATACACATGGACATAATCATAAACACATATATGCAATTATACATATACATGGACATGTATATATATATATATATATATATATATATATATATATATATATTTATATATATACACCGTACATGTATATATACACAAATATAAGATCGACGATCACACCTGAATGGGAAACAAACCTCCGAAGGCGGTCGAAGGCCTCCCAGGGCGTTCAATGGCCGCCGAATGGAAAGGAGAGCCGCGCGAAGCGCCGTCCTGAATGCTGGCCGCGCCACCAGCCGCTTCACGACCGGCGCGGTGTCTCCCAGCGTGCAAGGGTCCACCTTCACCTCGCCCATGATCCCCGGGATCTCGCGGCGCGGGATTAATCTCCCAACCTGCCACAGGACTTGTTCCCCCTATCCTAGATACGGGGCTCTTGCTATTACTGGGACGCCACCGCGTCATTCCTTCCTTCCCGCCTCTTTCATCGTCCCCAGACTCAGGCAACTCACACTCAGACTCACTCACATTCAGGCTCACTCATACTGAGACGCACTCACACTCAGACTCACTCAGACCCAGACCCTGACCCACTCACAGTCATAACAGCCAGCTCACAATCAGATCACTCCTGCATTCATTCACAGTCAGACGCACTCGTACTCAGATCCGCTGGTACAGGGACTCGCTCATAATCAGACTCACTCACACAAAGACCACTCCCAGTCAGCCCCACTGGTACCGAGCCAAGTCAGAGTCACGCTCACGCACACGCGCCGTTCACAGCGTGATCATTCACGCTCAAAGTGTGATCACCGCGGCAGAGCAGGCGTGGCCTCTGGGCACCCCACGACAGAGCCGCCAAGGGGCGTGACACGCTCGCCTGTCCGCGCCCCTATGGTCGGGATGTCTCAAGCGGTTTGCCCCCCCTTCTCCTGGCTCCCAAAATCCTCTCTTGGCGTGGCACTTGGGAGCTCCCGGGGGGGGGGGCAGCCAGGAGGTGTGACACGCTCCCGTTCGCGCCCAGACTGCGGGGATGTCTCAGGCGGTGTGCCTGCCTCTTCCCGACAGGCTTCTACTTGAAAGCCTCATGATCCCCGCGACGTGGCAAGCGTGGCACTTGGGCATCCCACGGGGGAGCCGCCAGCCTCCAGGGGGCGTGACACTCTCCCAGTCGCGCCCAGATGGTGGGGATGCCCCAAGCGGTGTTACTCGTTTTTTACCCCGACAATCCTCTTCGTTGAAACTCCCATGATCACCGCGACACAGCAGGCGTGGCACTTGGGCATCCCGAGGGGGAGCTGCCAAGGGGGGTAACACTCTCCCGTTCGCGCCCTGGTGGTCGGGATGTCTTACGCGGTGTGCCTGCTTCTGGCTCCCATGATCTTCTCTCTTGAGCCCTTCCGATCACCACGACCTGGCAGGCGAATCACTTGGGCAGCCCAGAGGGGAGCCTCCCGGGGTGTGGCACTCGCCGTTCGCGCTCAAATCTTGGGGATGTCTCACACGGTGGTGCTTCACCTTTGCTTGCAAGACCCTCTCTGTTTGGGACACTCGCCCGTTCTCGGCTAATTAGATCGTGGGGATCTCTCAAGCGGCTAGCGTGTTTCGGGGCTGGGACTCCTTCGCTTCAAAGCAGATTATCTCTTTTGAAAGCCCCATGATCACCGCTACATTGCAAACGTGGCACTTGGGCACCTCACTGAGGGGCCGCCAAGGGGTGTGACCCTTTCCCGTTCGCGCCCATGTGGTCGGGATGTCTCGAGCGGTGTGCCTGTTTTTGCCCCGAATACCGCTTCTCTTGAAAACCCCAAGGCCAACGCGACATGGCAGGCTCGGCGTTTTACCACCCAAAGGGGGAGCCGCCAGGGGGTGTGACACTCTCACGTTCGCGCCCAAACTGTGGGGATGTCTCAAGCGGTGTGCCTCTCGTTGCACCAAAGATCCTCTCTCTTGAAAGCCCCATGGCCACCGCTGCATAGCAAGCGTGGCACTTGGGCACCTCACCGAGGGGCCCCCAGGGGGTGCTGCACTCGCCTGTCCGCGCTCAGATGGTCGGGATGCCTACAGCGGTGTGCGTGTTTCTGCCCTCCGCGAATGTGCCTCTTGGAGACACCATGATCAAGGTGTGGCAGTTCGGCACCGCAAGGGGTAGCCTCCAAGGGTGTGACACTTTCCCGTTCTCGCCCAGCTGGCGTGGATGTCTCAAACGGCTTTGCCAGTCTTCTGCCCCCTAAGATTGGCTCCGTTCGGAGCGCTTAGCCGTTCGCAACCAGAATGAGGAAATGTCTCAAGCGGTTCGCTCGTTTCGTGGCTGGGACTCCTCTGCTTTCAAAAACACATCGCGAGGACATCCAGAGCGAGTCAGACGAAAGGCAAGCTCAAGCACCCCCGACCCTTCTCCTTTCAGAGCCCCAAGAGCATCCCGATGTAGCAGGCATAGCACCTGGGCGCTCCAAAAGGGGAGCTGCCACTGATCTTTGTCGCCACAGCCTAAGATTCTCACCCAGCCACTCCCAGACGGACGCGCCAAGAACTGATACTCCCACATGGGGATTTCTGCGTCGAATAACTTGTTAGACCAGCGGTTTTCCCAAACTTCAGCCTCCGTGGACCGCTTTCGGGTCCCGCATCCAGGACGAAGACCTGCCCCCTGGGACGGACAGGGTCGGGACTCCTGCGGCCGGCGGACCCACCGCCGCACTACTTCCGCCAGCCTCCGCCGACGGCGAGGTGGCGCCGAAGGCAAGGCCGTTTCTGGAACGTGCCACGTGGTGCAAACTGTGGTGGTGCAGGAGATGTGGCGCGAGGGATGCGGCGCGGCGCGGCCAATCGTGCAAATGTCATTACTTCCCCAATGCCTCGCGAAGGTCCAGCGGGGCGCCGATTCACGCAATCTCAAACTGGACAGCGCCTCCCCAGGTGCAGACGCACAACTGCGACGAACTCCTGCGCTCCCACGTAGGCCCGAACCACGAAACGCTGTTTCCCTACAGTCGAACGAAAGTAAGTATACTCCAGGCGCGTGAGCTCCTGCAGAACTGTAATATTATGTTCTTGCGCGCCGCTGCATCACTCACGTCGGCGTTCACTTGCTCAAAGACCTTCCCGACCTGAATTGTCCAATGCACTCCTGGGGCGACTGGTTTTGTTGACCCAATTGTGCGTGAGAGGGCGGTGAAGCTTCGCGACACGCAGGTTCTCAGCCGCATCGCGCGCCCTTAGTAAAAAAACTGTTGTTGAAGGGATCGCTGGTCCAGCGGCTGCTTCCCTACTTTCTTCAGAACAGGTTCGTTGGATATCCTCGACAAAGAAGCGTACGGAGCATGGATGATTATGCTCAAACACCTATGGTAAAACCGAGTGAGTCGTCTGATAGCAGCCTTACTCACTGAAGCGGGGCTGAAGCAGTACAAGGCCTCCCCCCCGCAGTACTTGGACCGAGAGCCTCAATTGTCCGTGCCCACGAAAAAATCGCTCTCCGCCAGAAACGGTCCAACTTGCAAACGCCGCCCCAGGCATATGCTCGCTGCTCCCGCGCAGTCTGCCACCCGCGTCACCGTCTGAGAGCAATAGTCCACGCCCAAACTCGGCGGCGCGCACAGGGGGGTCGGAGGGACGGGGGAAGAAGGCTTCTTAGAAGGAGGCTGCTTCTTAGCAGGCGCCGGCGCTACATCTGTAGGTAGGGCCCACTCCTTCTAATTAGCAGGGGGTGCTTCTCAGAAACCCTCCCCCCTTCCCCCCTGCGCGTGGAAGAAGGCTGCTTCTTAGAAGGCGCCGGCCCTACATCAGTAGATAGGGCCCACTCCTTCTAATTAGCAGGGGTACCCTCCCCCTTCCCCCCCTGCGCGTGACTGACAACGTCTTCATGACGCTTCTGGTTTCGATGCCCTTCCCGGAAGGCGTGTGCAGGCGGTAACCTCGCCCGGCGCTGCGAGAGATGGCGGGGCTGCCGCTTTCCTGCGCGCCTCGGCGGTCCAGCGAGCTGCCGTTTTGCGCACGTCCAAATGAGGTTGGCGGCGCGCATGAAGGGGTGGAGGAAGGGGGGAGGGCTTCTCAGAAGAAGATGCCTTCCTGGATACTCTCCGCAACGGCATCACCCAACAACCAATTGTGTCGGACGAGGCACCAGACTGCGCTGATTCACTGAAGTGCCTTTTGCTGCGATCAGCCACCAGGGAGGTGTCGGCAAAACTCGTTGGCTCAGCGGGGGGACGAAGAGGACGAGAAGACGGAGGAAAGTGCTGGTGACGATGCGGAATGGGGGCAGGAGGAGCGGAGAAGGAGGAGCTGGAGGAGAAGAGGGGAGCCAGCGAGCAAGCGAGCGTCCAGGTGGGTCACCAGGACGGCGATACAGAGGGAAGATGGCCGCAACTGTGGCCGCCGGGCCCGATCAAACACCGAGCCCCGAACGAGGGAAGGAGGAGAAGAGTGGAGTGTTTTGTTTCCCACGTGTGTGTGTGTGTTTTTGTGTGTGCTTTTCCCACGAGAGGGGGGAGGGGGGCGGGAGGGAGGTGGGCCGGGGCGGCGGGCGAAACGGGGCTGGGCGGAACAGGAGCACGGAGAAGGCGGAGGAGCAGAAGAGTGGGGAGCAGGTAAGGCAAGGTGAGGTGAGGGCGCTTGGGGTTCTCAAGTCCTACAGCCTTGGCGTGAGAGAATGGCCCCTGCGTCGGTCAGCATGGACGCAGGACCCTCACTGGGTGGAGGGCCTGCCATGATGAGCAGGAGGAGGAGAAGGAGGTTGAGGAGGAGGTTGAGGAGGAGGTTCAGGATTATCATGAGCAGATAAGAAGATAAGACACGACTGTGGGCCCAGAACTCTCGACTTGTCAAGGAAAGGCGTGGCGGCGGTGGCAGCCACAAGGCCGCGCTCGACGCGCGCCTGCAAACAATGATCACGAGGAGGAGGAGGAGGAGGAGGAGGAGGAGGAGGAGGAGGACACAAGCACACCAAGGACCAGCGGCGGCAGCAGCAGCAGCATGCCGTGGGCGAGGACGAAGACGACTCCCACGAAGGCACCTTCTCGACTTGACGAAACAAAGCCAACCTTCTGATTGATGATCGGCAACAAGACCGTCTGTATGGCCTGATTGAAGACCGGGACGACCAGGGCCCAGATGTCCTGTCTTGGGAGAAGGGCTTGCGCACAGTTGTAAACTGGTGCGATCTGGTAGGTCTCGCACCTTGCATATCTCACTGCAAGCTGATAGTGAATGACGGCAGCTGGCACTCATCGCCGCATAAATGCACAACCGCGCAGCCCGATTTCAAGCCCAGTCTCTCAACATAGTAACCGAATGACCCGTGCACAGAGACTGTTATAGTACCGCCGTGGACCTGCTTATCACTGATGGCTCAGCATGATCCCTTCCATGTCCAATTATCTCCAAAACCCTCCGGGGTAATTGTTGCTCACCTCTCATCCTCTCTGGACGCGTTCCTCGCCGGGTTCCCCGGAGTTCCTTGGTTCTGATTCCTTACAAGGGGGTCACCAGGGATCCTTGGATTCGTTTCCTTGCAAATTCCTCTGCCTCAAGGTGACCCTCGAAACCACCAGCAGGCTCCAAAAGGGGCTCCCGAAAGCTCCAGGAGGCCCCCAAGAAGCCCCCGAGAGGCCCCAAGACAACCCCCAAAGCGCCTCCAAGAAGCTTCCTAGAGGCCTCGGACCTACAACCTAGTCGCGGGATGGGCCCAAGGCCACTCATCCGCCGCCCCCTGTTGATGTATTACAGGGGCGCCTGGCGTGCCAGATGTCGGGTTGGTTTCAAACCTGTTTCAAAGATTCCCCGTGGGGTGCGCGGAAAGTCTTACCTTAGATGGCCCCAAGATGGCCCCGAGACGGCCAAGATAGCCCAAGCTGGCCTCCAAGCCCAATATGTTTCCAAGACGGCCAAGATGGCCCCAAGGGAGGCGAGGCGAGGCGAGGCGCGCCTGAGTCCACCAGGGGGCGGGGCCTGAAAGGCCGGCGCGGGCGGGCCGGGGCCCTCAGTTGCAGATGTGAGACTTGCGGTGAGTGCTGTGTGGCGTAGGAATACTTGTTCAAGATTGTTCCATTGAGCGCTGTCTTGTGCTATCGTAAACCATCGTCCGCTGCCAGGTTGGAGAAGCATGTTTGCTGTCAGAAAATGTGTCATATCGTCTTCCCAACGTTTCCTCTGACCCCCTTGTCTGCGGACTGCTTGCCGGTGGTCGTGGATGTCCGGCTCCCACGTCGCAGCAAGTCGGGCCCATCTGTTGTACGATTGATTTGCAACTCGTCCTGCCCACCGCCACTATCGACGAAAGTACACCAAGGGAGCTTAAGACGGCCCAAGATGTCCTTCAGATGGCCCAAGTGGCCCCCAAGACGCCCCCAAGAGGCCCCAAGAAGACTTCAAGAGGACCTCCAGCAGGCCAAAATCATTGACTCAATCTTTCAATAAATTTAGAGTTCTCGCCTTTTCGGGCCTCCGACGCCCCAAGACGGTCCAATAAGCTCCGAGGATCGCCCAGAGACGGCCCAAGAGGCCCCCAAGAAACTCGCAAAACGGCCCTTCAGAGCCTCAAAACAGCCTAAGAGGCCCCCAAGACGGCCCTAAAGCACCTAAAGAAGGACCCACGACTGCCCAGAGAGGGCCCCATGACGACTTCCGAAGGCACAGAGGTCCCTCAGAGGCCCTCTGAAGCCTCCAAGAGGCCCCCTAAGTGGCCCCAGGAGGCACCCAAGAGGCCCCTCAGAGGCGCCCAGCAGGCTCCCAGGAAGCCCCAAGAGCGCCTCAAGAGGCATCCTCTTCTGATTATGTGTCTTCTTCTTCTTATGAATAATCTTCATCTTCTTATGAGTATGATGAGTCTTCTTCTTAGTAATAGTTCTGCTCTTAGTATCATTAGTATGTGTCTTATTATGTTATCAGCTTATTATTAGTAATGTTATTATTAATGTTAGTATGTTCATGAATCGTCTTCTTAATGCACTTGTTACTACTAAGTTCACTATTGTTCGCATTCTTAATATTACTACTAATATGCGTCTTATAAGTATTGTTCTTGATTTGATTATAAATAGCCTTCGTCATAGCTTAGTGATAATATCATTACGACTACCAATATTGTTACAACTGCCACGATTATTCGTATTGTTCGCAATATGATTCATTCGGTTACTTGTCATGGATATTGCTTAAACTCCTCTTCCTCCTCCTCCTCCTTCTCCTCCTGCTCATCGTCCTCCTCCTCCTCCTCCTCCTCCTCCTCCTCCTCATCCCTCTCCTCCTCCTCTCCTTCTCTCCACGATGTAGCGCCAAGAGGCTCCACAACGGCTTGGGGAACACACAGTCCAATAGACTGGCCAGACTCGGGCCCAACGTTTGGCCACACGCGCGCTTCCAGAAGGCAGGGGGGCGGCGGTGCTTCGCCGTGGGCGTCCTCGATCATGGCTCAAAGCACGCGTGAGCTCCACCAGGTCTGGAGCCCGTGGGGTCTCCCGTGTGACTGCTGATGGCTGCTCGCACGGTATCTCGTATGGTCTCCAGTGTGAGCTCCTGTGCGGTCTCCCGTGCAATTTCCCGTGTGGTCTCACGTATGGCCTCCCGTACATACGATACAATATATTTGTATATATATATATATATGTAAATATAACGGTCTCGTTGGTATGTAGTCGAACTGTTTAGGGCCTCTTTTTTTGAGCGAGCGCCGGTCGCATGTCTTCCCGCGCCCGGATCGCGGTCGCCAGGGAGCTACGAACGGGAACTCTTGCTTGGCGTGTCGCGGCGGCAGCCTTGGCGAGAAGCTATGCGTGGCAAGCGGATAGCGTGTCGCTCCACACCGCGGGGCGAGAGGCTCGAAAAAGGCTCAGACGGCACGACACGCTAACAAGCGAAAGTTCCTGACCGTATAGCAGGTTCGTGCGCCGTCGGCACGCGCAAAGGTTTGTTGACACCGCGTCGAGCGTTCAACCTTGAACCGGTCGCGGTCCTGCTCGTTCAGGGTTGGCTCACGTCGGGGCCTGTGGCGTTACCGTGCCCCATCAGTGCGCCTCCGCGTCGTTCTACCATGCGGATTTCAACCTGGAGCGCCTTCGCTAGCGTTCCGGCGCGCCATCGTTGCGCGAACCGACCGTATCATTAAGTCGGGCGTGTCCTCCTACAGGCGGAGATTCGAATAAAATGAACAATAGTCAAAAAAAATCGAGAAGGTAGTCAGGAAAAACTCGAAAAGCCGTCCCCTGACAATTTTTCAAACTATTTTTGGACACTCCTCTTGTAGAAGGACATGCCCGACTTAACCGTACAGCGGAGGCCAGTCCACAAGAAACCTTCAACAAGAAACCCAACCCTGAGACCCCAGGACGCCCATTGATTTTGGGTGTGGGAACGTCGCGCCGTCCACAGCAAAGCCATCGAAACCCAAGAAACCCAGGGCACCCTGGAGGCAAGCAGGGTGTGTCTTGGAATGGGCCTCCACGGTATCCCTCCCCCCCCCCCCGCAACGCTCCGAAGTGCCCCATCGGGCGCTGGCGATCTGCACTTGTGGGCAGGGCGGCCTGCACCGCAGCGCTGGCCGCCGCGGCCGGGGCCGCTCACGGCAAGGGGATGTCGTCCACGTCGTCGTCGTCGTCGTCAAAGTCCGAGTCCTCCTCGGGAGCCCCAGACCCCTTCGCGCTGCGAACAAAACCACGACGGTAAGGAAGTTTTCTCCGAATTGTCTCGGCCCCCGGGGGCCCTTCTGGAGCCTCGGGGCCGTCAAAAAACGACTCAGGACGAAAAACCGGTCCCGGGGAAGGGGTCCAGACCTCTGGGCGTCGACGCTGGGAAAAAAATCACGACGTCGGTAGTCTGGGGCCCTGGCGGCCCCCGCCGCTTGGCGACGCGGCGCCACGGGTGGGCCGGCATCGTCCCAGCACCCGTCCTCCAGAGTGGGGCCCGTGGCGACGACGGCAGTTGGCCGTCGGGGGGCCCCCTCGTCCTCACGGCTGGACGCACCTCAGAAAACTGGCGCGCGTGGACCCCCAGACGGGTCTAGGGACCGACTCGGAGTTGCCGTTCTCCGACTCGCCCTGCTCCGAGTCCTGCGCAGCCGAAGCGGCGCCCGGACCCTGGCGGTGCTGCGGCTGGGGGGCGCCGTCGTCGTCCGAATCCTCCTGCGGAGCAGCCGCCGAAGCTCCCGTGCTGGCTTGCGCACCGGCGCCCAGCTGTCCGGAGGCTGCCTGAGGCAAGCCGCCACTCGAGCTCCCTGGGCTCACCGGCTGCATGGGCTCCCTGGCCGCCTTGCTGGTGTTGCCATCGGACGAGGGCGTCGGAAGGCCGCTGCTCGAGCGCCCTGGGCTCATCAGTCCCTCCACGGCCTCCGAGGCAGTCGTCCCGCCCACGGCCCGCGAGGCGTCGCCGTACAACCCGGCCATGGCTGAGGACACCATGGAACCGACCTGGCGCACTGGCGGGCTCTCGCCCTCGTCCTCCTCGTCGCTGTCGTCTGCGGTGGCGCCGCCAGCGCCGGCGCCTGACGATGCCGCGCGCCCCACGGCTCGCGAGGCGTCGCCGTACAACCCGGCCATGGCTGAGGACACCGTGGAACCGACCTGGCGCACTGGCGGGCTCTCGCCCTCGTCCTCCTCGTCGCTGTCGTCTGCGGTGGCGCCGCCAGCGCCGGCGCCTGACGATGCCGCGCGCCCCACGGCCCGCGAGGCGTCGCCGTACAACCCGGCCATGGCTGAGGACACCGTGGAACCGACCTGGCGCACTGGCGGGCTCTCGCCCTCGTCCTCCTTGTCGCTGTCGTCTGCGGTGGCGCCGCCAGCGCCGGCGCCTGACGATGCCGCGCGCCCCACTGCCCGCGAGGCGTCGCCGTACAACCCGGCCATGGCTGAGGACACCGTGGAACCGACCTGGCGCACCGGCGGGCTATCACCTTCATCTTCCTCGTCGCTGTCGCCTCCAGTGGCGTCGCCAGCGCCAGCGCCTGACGATGCCACGCGCCCCACGGCCCGCGAGGCGTCACCATACAATCCGGCCATGGCTGAGGACACCATGGAACCGACCTGGCGCACTGGCGGGCTCTCGCCCTCGTCCTCCTCGTCGCTGTCGTCTGCGGTGGCGCCGCCAGCGCCAGCGCCTGACGACGCCGCGCGCCCCACTGCCCGCGAGGCGTCGCCGTACAACCCGGCCATGGCTGAGGACACCGTGGAACCGACCTGGCGCACCGGCGGGCTCTCGCCCTCGTCCTCGTCGCTGTCGCTTGCGGTGGCGCCGCCAGCGCCAGCGCCTGACGATGCCGCGCGCCCCACTGCCCGCGAGGCGTCGCCGTACAACCCGGCCATGGCTGAGGACACCGTGGAACCGACCTGGCGCACCGGCGGGCTATCGCCCTCGTCCTCCTCGTCGCTGTCGCCTGCGGTGGCGCCGCCAGCGCCTGAAGCTGCCGCTGCCGCGCCCGCGCCTGGCGCTGGCGTGCCGACGGCGTCCCCAGCACCAGCAGTGGGATGCGCAGCACGAGGCGAAGTGTCGCTGTCATCCTCAAGGTGACGACATCCGAACCCTACCCCCACTAACCATCGATTCTGCTGAATCGTTGGGAGGCGGGGGCATGTTTCGAACTCCACCACGCGTTCGACGAACGCTGCCCCCGCCGCCCATCGGGCTGCCTGAATCGCTGAGAGGGCAGGGTTCGGCTTTCGCCGCCAATCCTCGTCGCTGTCCAGCCCCAGCATGCTGCCCTGGACGGCCATGGTTGGCGCGGCCTGGCCCGCGGCGGCGGCCGTCCGCGGCCGGGGCAGGAAGGGCGCGGCGCCGGCGGGCCCGTGCCGCGGCTGGTCGAGGACGCGGTGGGCGCGTGGTCCCTCGCCTGCGGCCGGGGCTGGCGGCAGCGGAGGCCGGACCTGCAGGATGCTGGCCACAGCCTGCCCGATAGACTCTGGCCGCCCCCCCGGCGGGGCGGCGATGTCGGGCGCGGCCTGGCCGACCCCTTGCAAACCGTCCCCTTTCCGTGACGTCATCCTGACCTTTCGAGCTCCCCTCTGGCCGCATACATAATGATCAGCAGCAGCAGCAGCAGCAGCAGCAGCAGCAGCAGCAGCAGCAGCAGCAGCAGTAGTAGTAGTAGTAGTAGTAGTAGTAGTAGTAGTAGTAATAGTAGTAGTAGTAGTGGTAGTAGTAGTAGTAGTAGTAGTAGTAGTAGTAGTAGTAGTAGTAGTAGTAGTAGGAGGAGTGGAGGTAGTAGTAGTAGTAGTAGTAATAGTAGTAGTAGTAGTAGCAGCAGTAGCAGTAGTAGTAGTAGTAGTAGTAGTTGTTGTTGTTCTAGTAGTAGTAGTAGTAGTAGTAGTAGTAGTAGCAGCAGTAGGAGTAGTAGGAGTAGTAGTAGGAGTAGTAGTAGTGGGAGTAGTAATAGTAGTAGTAGTAGTAGCAGTAGTAGTAGTAGTAGTCGTAGTAGTAGGCGAGTAGTGGTAGTAGTAGTACTACTACTACTACTACTACTACTACTACTACTACTACTACTACTACGACTACTACTACTACTACTACTACTACTACTACTACTACTACTACTACTACTGCTAGTAAAGTAGTAGTAGTAGTTTTTGTTGTCGTCGTAGTACTTTTTGTAGTAGCAGTAGTAGTAGTAGTAGTAGTAGTAGTAGTAGTAGTAGTAGTGGCGATAGCAGTAGCAGTCGTAGTAGTAGTACTAGTAGTAGTACTAGCAGTAATACTGGTAGTAATCATAAGCATACTAAATGTAGTGTTTGTTTCATAAAAAGTAGCGAATGAGACACAAAAGTAAAAGTAGAAAATTTAAAAAATAGTAAAAGTATTAAAGGTAGTAGAAATAGTAAAGATATTAAAAGTTATGAAAAATAGTATCACCGTGCGACCCTACCTAGGAGTTGGAGCATTCAGGAAAGCATCATCTACATCTACATCTACACCGACAGCTACATGTACATATACACCTGCATATACATGCCGTCTACTCTGCGCTATGCGATGCTATGCTTTGCTATGCTTTGCTGTGCTTTGCTATGCTGCGCTATGCTGCGCTATGCTATGCTATGTTAGGGTACGCTCGGCTGCGCTGTGTTGTGCTAGGCTATGCTATGCTGTGCTATGCTATGCTGCGCTATGCTATGCTCTGCTGTGCTATTCTATGCTGAGCTATGCTATGCTGTGCTAGGCTATGTTATGATATGCTACGATGCGCTATGCTATGCTATGCTATGCTATGCGATGATATTGTATGCTCTGATATGCTATGCTGCACTATGCTATGCTATGCTATGCTATGCTATGCTATGCTGTGATGTGCTGTGATATTATATGTTATGCTGCGCTGTGCTGTGCTAAGCAATGCTATGCTATGTTATGCTATGCTATGCTATGCTGCGCTATGCTATGCGATGACATGCTATGTTATGCTATGCTGAGCTGTACTATGCTATGTTATGGTATGCTATGTTTGGCTATGATATGCTGCGCTATGCTGTGCTAGTGCTGCGCTGCGCTATACTGCGCTGCGCTAAGCTAAGCTAAGGTATGCTAAGCTTAGCTAAGCTAAGCTAAGCTAAGGTACTCTAGGCTAAGCTAAGCTAAGCTAAGCTAAGCCAAGCCGAGCTAAACTAAGCTATGCTAAGCCTAGCTAAGCTAAGCTAAGCTAGGATAAGATGAGGTAAGCTCAGCTAAGCTGAGCTAAGTTAAGCTAAGTCAGGCTGGACAAAGCTAAGCTAAGCTAAGCTAAGATGAGATAAGCTAAACTAAGCTAAGACAAGAGAAGCTTAGCTTAGCTTAGCTTAGCTTAGCTTAGC